ACTGGTCTGAACTAATGTAAGGCTTTTTGTATTCTTTGTTATTCTAGTTAATGTAAATATACAGAATTTCTTAGGAAGATTCATGTGTACAATTATTGGATGATTGATTTTCATGACAGATAGTATACGAGCCATCCCAACTTTCTGAATTCCAAAAAACTTTTTACATCTGAGATACATATGCCACCATGGTTTCATATAACAGCCTACAGATCAGGTCTGGAGGATGAAGAGAAAGAGGAATCATTTCAAGGAGCAGAAGAACTGGGTAAGATAGATAAAAGTTATAGGGAAAAAAAGTGATCCTGTTCTAGGCTTCACATTATACTTGAATACTTCAATTCTTTAATATCAAAGACATTTTTTCTGAGGAGATGGGGGATATTTGAGGGTTGAACCCAGGAGTACTTAACCACTGAGCCATATCCCCAGCTATTTTGAGACAGGGTCTAAATTGCTGAGGCTGGCTTTGAATTTGCAATCCTCCCATCTCAGCCTCCTGAGTCACTAGGGTTACAGGCATGTACCACTGTGCCTGACAAAGACATCTTTTTCTACAACTTTTTTTTTTTTTTTTTTAAAGATCTGACCTGTCAAACCATATTTATATTTAAATTCCCAAAAGAATAAAAATATACCAATTTTGTATTTTCACCCAAAAAGTATAAGCTTTTTTCTTGGCTGGTCCATACAGGTTTATCTCAGATAAATTGTACACCTTCCGGGGCTGGGGTTGTAGCTCAGCGGTAGAGCGCTGGCCTAACACGTACAAGACCCTGGATTCGATCCTCTGCACCACATAAAAAATAAATAAATAAAGGTATTATTATGTCCAACTACAACTAAAAAGTAAAATATTTTTTAAAAATGTACAACTTCCATTCAGTTCATTCAGATAGCCTTATGTAGATATAGTCAATGACACTAAAGATCCACAATATTTAGCACCTACATGATAGCATTAAGCATTTCATACATGCACACAATATTATACATACACACTCATTCATTTAATTCTCCAAACAATCCTGGGAGGTAGTTACTATCATTATGACCATTTTAAAGATGAGAAATTGAGGCACTGTGAGGCTAAGTAACTGGATAGCATGGCATTAATACAGACATAACAAGAGAAATTGTGAAAATATTTACATAATAACTAAAAATATAAATTAGAAGTCTTCCATTATTTAGACAGGCAACAAATGCTCCCTTGAGTCTACAAGTAATGATGTGGCCATTCAGCTGTGAAGTCCAGGAAGTACAGCAGACCAGGTATGGCCATGCACAGCATCAGGGTAAGAAATGAAAAAGCCAGCAAGTGACAGTGCAGCAAGGACAAAGCTACTCTAATTTTCAAAGAAAGAATCTGGACAACTGTGACCAACAATTAGTTTGTTTTCTTTGTGGGATTCAGGAGCATTCAACCACTGAGTTACATTACAGTCCTTTTTTTTTTTTTTTTTTATCCTGCTAAGTTTCTGACGGACTGGCTTTGAATTTGGTGCTCCTCCTACCTTGGCCTCCCAAGCTGCCACCTTACTTCTCAGCCTCTTTATTATTCAATTTGTATAATGTTTAATGTTACTAAACCATTGCACAGGCATTGTTTTTAAATGTTTGTATGACATCTGTAGAAAGATAAACATTTTCCTAAACATTTAATGTGTTTGAGAAAGCATTTTACACCTGAGATTTGTTTATACCAACTTCCTTCCCAAACTCACAATTGCCCCATTAATAGAGAAAATGGTGCTACTAAAAGCAGCCCACAGTTCCTCTCTTCCTACTCTCCCATTGCTTCCCATCCCACACCCATCAAAAAACTTAACATTTCTCAAGTACAGTACACATACAGTAGGCACTGCTATCCTAGTGATCTATCCAAGCTGAACGAAATGCCTTATCTCAGGTGTAAAAACAAGGAAGTTGAAGAAAGGATAATATGTTAACATTTTTATGAAGTACAAATTATTCGACTTAAAAGATAATCTTTCATTCTGAGGTTGTCCTTACTTTTTCAGTATTAAAATATAATAATAGCTGGGCATGGTGGCACACACCTGTAATCCCATCGACTCAGGAGATTGAGGCAGGAGGACTGCAAGTTAAAAGCCAGCCTCAGCAACTTAGGGAGGGCCTAAGCAACTTAGCAAGATGGGGTCTCAAAAAAATAAAACATGGATTTGGCTCAGTGGTTAAGCCCCTTTTCCCCTCCCGTGTGTGTGTATTAACCATTGCTTACTTTTTATTGTTCTTACTGACCAAAAAGCCAGTGACCAAGTCAATCCCTGTATCTAAATGTTAATACAAAGAAACTCAGTCAACCACTAAAACCTAAATATTAGGATAAATAATATAGAATAAATACCATGTATGTGTGCGTGTGTGGAGGAGCATAAAGGATTAAAAACTTGCAAAGTCAAAAGGAAGTACATATTTTACATTTAGCAATGAGGTAAAAACCAATTGACACTGATCCAGCAAAAAAAAAAAAAAAGCAGAATACAACTTTACAAATTTCAGTTTCTTATTCAGAAAAGATTGTAAGCACTGATGATTTTCATTTTTTGGTGGGATAAAACAGGAAATAAAACAATGATAACTTACTTTTAAAATGAAAGTGAAGGGGCTCAGTGGTAGAGTGCTTGCCTAGCATGTATCAGGCACTGGGTTTGATTCTCAGCACCTCATCTGAATAAATAAAGGTCCCTTGACAACTAAAAAAATTTTATAACAAAATAAAAAATGAAAGTGAAGCTCATAATTCTCAACAATACTAGAAAAATAATTTAAAACAATATTATTACTTTACTAAATAATAAGGCATCATAGAGAAGATTGTTAGAAACCAAGATTCTGAAGTCAAACAGAGCCCAGCTGTGTATTAGCAATGTAAACCTAGGTATGCTACTTTACCCTGTTTCCATTTCCTTAAAGGTTGTTGTATTAAATGAGTTAAAATATGCAAAGTGCTTAGAGCAGTGCTTGGCACTTAGTAAGTGCTTTAAAAGTACGTTACACATATAATTTAATAACGTGAAGCAACAAAGGCAAAGTAACGACTAGAATGAAGATGATAAATATTATGGGACTAAAAGTAGTGGCTATTATATTTTCATAAAGTTCTTACAAAGTACTTAGCAAGTGTAAGGCCCTGGGTTCAATCCCAGCACCATTAAAAAAAGGAACCATTTTTATATACATAAAATATATAAGGATCTGTGTGACCTTATACTTTTTATTTTACATTATTAAAGTTAGAAAAAAAATCTGAATCCAGTTACAATACCCTCAATGACTGTTTACATTATATGCTTCCAAAGCTCAGAAATACACTACCCCAACTGAGTACACTACTGCATTTGAGAGAAAGTGGAAATTACTTCTACCAATAAAAGAAATTTTCATATCAGCAATAACTCAGACACATGATTCCTTGCCTATACACTGACCAAACTTAGTTATTCATATCTGAGTAAGTTTTCAGACAGCACATCAAGCTTTTATAGAGAAGAAGCAAACACCTGAGCACACAGAATAGGCATTAGCACTCCTTCAATTCCTCCCCTGGGATCCGGACTTGGCTTACTCTGCACAAGGGATTTTCTTAAGCAAGTTTTCTTAGTTCACCCTGTCATCTGACCCTTCTTCCAAGCCACCTCTACACCCAGGGTGGATTATTTACTTATATACCACATCACTATATTTCTTAGACATCCTTAGTATTCAAGAATAGTTGTCTCCCCCAGCATTACCTTAGAAATGCAGAATATTAAGCTGCATCAAGGATCTACTAAATTAGAATCTGCATTTTTAACAAGAGCTCCAAGTGATTCCTATGAACATTCAGGTTTGAGTAATGTTCTGACACTGCTGCAGATCGTTGTGATAATTAAGTGTTCGACTACATGTGAATTCAGAAATTTAGTATGAAAAAATCACCAATACATGGAATCTGAAAAGTCCAAAAACAAATAACCAATCTGAATTGGTTATAAATTTGACACTGACAAAGGTGTTCAGTGATTTTTCAGCAACGCTACGTTTAATGACTCCTGCTTTTATTTTGTGCAACAGCCCAACACTAATAATGTACAGTTTGGAGGGGTGGGAGGACTACATTTTGATGTACAAAGACTACTACAAAGTGATAGAAATTTCAGAGCACTCGTAAGTTAAAATTTCGGGATTTACTCCAATTCAGAGTTGATAAATACAACTCTGTCCAGAAAGTCATTCTACAAGGAAGATAACATCTAAAAGATGCAAACTTGGAACAGTTCATATTCCCGGAACTACAACTATTTAGTAACTGGTACTAACCATAACCTTAGGTCACGTGTAAGAAAAGAATCTTGTTGGGAAGGCTGTTGCCAGAAAGTAAAAAAAAAAAAAAAAAAAAAATCAACTTTCACCCTCCGCAAAGTTTTTCCACATGTCCCAATGGATAGGCCTCAAACTTGCACGTTCTTACAGGTGAATAAGCTGAGGTCGTATTACAACAAACCAAGGAAAAGTTAAGGCAAGGTTTCTCTATTCTAAAAGCTGCATTTTAGAAGGCTGAAGGACTCCGGGCCCACTTCGCTTCCGGCCTGCGAAGGAAGCGTGCCGCCCAGGGCTGAAATGAACAAGGAAAATGACCAAGTAGGAAATGAAGCCCTACTGCAGCCACCAAGCTCTGCCCTCTAGCAGGCTGGCCTTCCAGACTGGCCCCCGACCTCCCGCGGGAGGGAAGGCAGGCTGGCTGGAGGCAGCACCCCGCCCGCCCCGGAGCCGTGCGAGCCCCCGCCCGCCCCCCAGCTGCCTGCGGGAGGCGCACAGACGCGGGGCGGGCGGCAGCCGCCTAGGGCCTTCCCGAGACGGCGGCGGCGCGAGGGGAGGCAGGACCAGTCCTGAGAAGCCGGGGCGGGAGCGACTGCATGTGAGGGGCTGCACTGGAGAAGGCGGAGGGCTTGGGCTTTTTTACGATTATCATCATCATCATTATTTTGTTTTACCTGTGGCGCGGATGGGTTCCCCAGCTCCTATTCCCTGAATCCTCCTCCTCCCCTCCTCTTTCTGTCTGTCTCTTTCTCTCTCTCTCTCCCTCAGTCTGCCGGGAGCTCGCGGAACCTGCCGGGCCCGGCCCGACCTGAAAGAGAACAGGGCGGGAGGGGGTGGCGGCGGTGACCAGCGGCCACGTGACCACGCTCGCGCCGTAACGCCGGCCGTCTCCGGTAGCGCGCTCTCCCCGCGCTCCACCTCTAATAACCCCGCGGCTCGCGCGCCCGGAACGCTCGTGCGCAGGCGCCTGCGGGGGCACGGGGCGCGCTGGCTCTCGGGGCCAGGTGTCAGGGGCCCAAGAGGCCGGAGTAGGTGGGGAGTGAGCCTGGGGCCGGCCCTCCTCCCTTCGGCCGGCTGCTAGGCGCATGCGCGCGGCGCTTCCGCACCCGCCTTCCAGCTGCTGGAGGCTGAGTCCGCAACTGTGTCTTCTTCCCAAGTTTGCACCCACCAGAACCTTCGTAGGTTGGGACTGAAGAGGAGAGAATTCAGCCCCTGGGACCCCTAAGACTTGGCGCTCCTGCCGAAGAATTTACATCTTCTTGTCCCATGTAAAAGACCTTCCCATTTGACGTTTTTCTGTAGCTGAGTAGTCCTCTGACCCAGGTCGTCTGTCATTCTGAAATTTATCCAAAGCTGCCATACTCACTAGCACTCTGTGGAAACCTACTTTGTTATAAAACCCATAGAAGTATAAATGTCATAAAAGTTATTTTTTACAAGCCCACAGTGCTAAACTCAGGTTTTATCTTTTCCTCACAACCTAGAACTGAATCTTCAGCCCAGTAGTATCTCCCTGAAGGAATGATGACAGGTCAGCTGAAAACAATCAATGTCTAAACCCTTGTTGCCCTCGACCTCTGGTTAATCATGATTTAAGATTCCCTTCAGCTGGAGCACGTGGGACGCTGGTGCTTATTTCCCCAATATGAAAGCCTTTGAGTGGTAATGCTAATTAGAGTGGTAAATGCTTCACCTAGTAAAAAAGATTTATGGTCTTTTATTAGGCTATCTTTACAAAGAGCTCCAAAGGAAATTGATTCTGTTAGTTCCCGAGAAAGGAAACTAAGGCAGAGAAAGTTCAGATTTCCAAAAGTTAACTACCTTGAGAGGAAGATGCCTGTGTGGGAGACCTTCCTTCATACACAAAGGCTCCACTTCACATAGGGATTTCCTCTTTTTCTGTCACCTTTCTTTCCGTTACAAAAACTAAGCAGGTTAAGTTAGAGCCTCTGGCTGGATTTAATCAGAGCTAATAAATAAAATGTATAAACTTCCTAATTGGATGTTCTGGCTAGACTAGTCATTGTTATCATTAGACTGGTGGATACTGACCTGATGATGTTCAAGAAAAGAGACTAGCAACAAAACCCTAGGAAGTGTTGGGATGTATGCTTAGGAAAAAACAGGCACAGACAGCCCCAATTTATTTTTTTGATGGTGCAAAATCTACTTGCATTCTGTAGAAACTAGTTTGAATTTCAGTCTTCACCAGACTAATGATAAGTGATATGATTATCATGGTACTGGGCAGCAACAGCCAGCTGTAGTTCTGTCAACCATATGATCATGAAGGTAAACAACCAATGTTCTATAGTGTACCTAGTGGACTTTCTTCTCCAGCCTCCAAAACATTTCTCACCCCAGATCCTCATCACCTCTTTCCTGAACTACTAAGGATTGAGCCGGTTCTAGGTCACAAGGAAAAGTCAGTCACTCAAGCACCCAGGTTACCTTATCAGTTTATTAGGCAAAAAATGAGATGTGGGGAACCAGCCCAGTCATCCCCCATTACCTCTATCCTGGTGCTTCTCAGACTGGGAAGCCCAGTTAGACCTCATAGACTGCAACTACAGTGACCCTTTGACCACAACAATAGCTCTAGACACCTATCTTCTCTCTGGCTTCCTACTTCTTACTCCCCAAGAAACAAACTGAAGGGTCTATTAGATCCCAGTTGATACAGAGCACCCCATGAGGCAGAGGGTGGCCAGCAATCTTGGAAAAAGACACTAAAGCAATACAGCTGATAATTAGTAATGCTATAAAATATAAATATTCTATAAAATTCATCTCAAGTTATGCTACTTATAATACAGTTCAGGTACTTAAGGAAGAAGAATTAAATTTGAAGCAACATCAGCATTCTTAGAAAAATGAAAATTGTTGCACTTGTTTTTACAGCTACTTGTGTGCTCATTGATTCTCAGCTTCAACATCTAGGTGTATTCTTTGTCTTGGGGCATGGCACAAAGTGAAACACAAAAAAATGAAATGTTCTCTAGGAAAGGTGAAAGCTGAGGGGACAGCCCTTGACAAGACTGGCTTTCCTCTAGAACTCTACCTAAGTGAACACAGCCTGCCTCACCCAGGCTAGGCCACCATCCATATCCCTTCTCCCAGCTCTTTTCTCCCTTATGCTACTGAATTTGCTCAGACAATTTAGCCATCTTCAGATCCTGGAATTACCACAGTTGCCTGGACTAACATAATAATAAGATGTACATCCTGCAGTATGGCATTGCCAGTGTGAAGCGAGAGGGTTGTGGTAAGAATGGGCTATGTGTGGGACTGGAATCAAGGATCATCTCCTTTGCTATCCGTTATGGCACCCATGGAAGTAGCCCACTCATATCTCCCAGAGTCATCCATTAAAATGCAGCTAATCCCAGGTAGAGAGAACAAACTAAAGCCTTTCACCATTAAGAAAATAAGATTGTTTAAAACTTATTTTAACTATAAATTTGATTAAGATTATAATAAAGATTGTGATTATGATAATAAAATTACTACATTTTTAGGGTATTCCCTATTCTGTGTTCTTGTAGAAGATGCTTTTGGAGACTGTTTTTCCATTTTGTAATAAAAACTATTAACCATCATCCTTAATTACCTCTTCTTTCTCCCTACTCCTAATCTTCCACGAAGGACTTGAAACAAACTAGGCCAATCAACTTCTCTTTCTGAAAAAGTTGAGAAATGGGATTAAAAGGCAACTAGTCAATCTTTGTATGTTGTTGGAACTGTAAAACCCAAGAGAGTAGACCACATTATCAGCAAGGTCTAACCAAGAGAAACCATTTATTTATTATAGAGGGAATTTAATACAGGGAATGAGTTACACAGGTGATGGACCCAAAGAAGCAATGGGGGTTTTTAGAGATTAGTAACAGCAGGAGGGAACTGTATCACCCCTTAGCTGACAAGATACAAGAAGATACCATGTTACTGGTAATCTTGGAATGGGGTCATCCAAGGCAATAAATACAGAGTCTGGTTTTATGCAGAGAAAGCTATTTAAGGTAGTTTTTCTCAGAAGCTAACTTTTAGCACAGCAAGCACTTGTAAGGTTTACCCACCCTTCACCACCAATCTTAAGGAATAGAAGAAAGTTTCCTAAATAAGAGTCACAGTTATTTGGCAAATGGAGAAGAGGTGTTTGGCAGGAAAAACAATATATGTTTGCTATGTTCCTTCTGCTAGATACCCAGAGCATGTATATACCTTTCTTCTAATATATAATTTCAAAACAATCTCACCTAATATAAAGTAACTATTTACTAATCCTGTAATTAGAGAATGACTATTAATAATAGTCAATCATTCCAACATTAATCATTAGGTTTTTGGATTTAAAGTAATTTTAACTCTCATACTAGTCATGGAAAATAAAATGATATTATTTAGAAAGTCTACCAAAAATTACACTAAAACCAGAAATTGATTTGTATGTAGTGTCTGCATACCTATGTGTGATAGACTGCTGGCTTCTCCTCCCTTCCAAATCTATTTTTCTCTTCTTCCATTGGAATTGAGTTTTAGCTGGGCACACGGCCATCCATCTGGAGGCTACATTTTCCATTTCCCCTCATGGCTGGGTGTGGCCATGCAACTCCATTTTCATCCATGGAGCATAAGAGAAAGCAACGTGTACATTTTCAGCATTGCTTGCTTAAAAGAAAATCGCTCACCCTATGCTACCTCTCCTTCTCCATTCCTGCCCCCTGAAATAGACATGGTAGTGACCCAGCTCCCAATGTGCACAGCCTGACAGAGCAACCAGATGGAAAGAAACTGGATTTCTGGATTGCTCTGTGGAAAACTGCCTACCGGAACTAGACTGCTCCATTACACCTTTAATTAGAGAGGAATAACTTATGCCTTATTTAAGCCACTAAAATTTTAAACTTTACCCTACTTAACACAATATATGAGGCATTGTATTCTGTTAACTAATATGTGGAAATATCATGAGAAATTAGATCAGTTTTTGAAACATAAATCCATTTGTCCTTAGAAGAAATGATGTCAACATTTTAGATACCCGAGGAATGCCAAATGCCTTGATACTACCAGCTCCTTTTTTCATGCCATCATGCTTTTAATTATCACCAGGGCAAACATGCTCAGTTGCTCCTGAAGACATTAAAAGGCAGGATAAATGCACAGACTCAGTAGTAGAATTGCCCAAGTTCAATCCTAGCTGTCTTTATTTGCTTATGATAAAACCTGAACTAAGGCATTACTTATCCTTTGTGGTTTCAGATTTGTCTGTGAGATGAGGGTAATAATAGTCCCTAAGGTGTTAGGTTGTTGTAAGCATCACATGAGACAGTCTCCTATAACACATTTAACATATGGTAACCATCCAATTAAAAAATAGATATTATTATCATCTTGGAGTCTTGATCAGAAAAGAAAATCTGTATGAAGAGCAAATTATTCTTCGTATAACAATAATGATTGAAAAATCAATGTTTAGACACTTGAAATAGCAAATTCTGGACTTGACTTTGAACATCAAAAAAAAAAAAAAAAGATATTTTTGCTGTATTGCCCAAACATTTACTATGATATACCCACTAATATGCCTAAATGGTAGTAAAAGGGATGTCTTCACTTATGTTCCAAAAGTACCATATCTCAAAGCTTTACCCTAGAAGGAGAAAGAACTCTTAGGAGGGACATTATCAGCATTGATTTTCAACAGTTTTAAGGAAGGACATAGGACTCATGATCACAATTAAGTATGTAAAATCATTTCCTAGAAGTTTTTGTTCTCTATGATTGCAATTATTTCCTACTGAATTATATTTTCCTTCATCAGTTGTATAGATAGTTCCTTAATAAACAATTTCAATGTTGATTTTATAGTGTCTTTATACCATATGAGACCCC